GACTTACAGGAGCAATTAGGGTTAAGTGCCTTGCTCAAGGGCACATCGTCTCTTAGACCTCCTCTGCCTCTCTTTTTCCCTCCATTCCTCCTCATTCATCCAAGTATACGTCTCCTTATGATAATACTGCATTTCTCCAAACCTATATCTGTTTCTTGCCTTCTCTAAGGATTCCATTTTCCCCTCCTTTCCCTTCCGGCGTCTATTCTATCCTCGGCCTTGACCTCTTCATTGCTCTCCTCTTCTGATCCGCTGTCTTCCTCTCCTGAATCACCATCGTCTTCCGATCCCTCTTCCGAGCTGTTATCCTCACTATCATCGGGACTTACTCCCTTTCCAACTGCTCGTCTCTACCACATCGCCCCTGCACCGCTCACGTTTTGTATCTTCTTCTTCTTCAATGATGTTTAACGGTGGTTGGCATCCAATAAATGTTGAATTACAGCCACCAACTGGACTGGAGTATAACTCCCTTATACTTTGCTTGAAAAAAAGAAAGAAATCAACAAATACCCTACCATATAACCCTAAACTCATTAAAAACCCACCACCCTACTCTACTAAATCTAGTCGTACCTCAGGCCAACAGCCTGAAAGGACGGGACACCACCACTCAACACACCCTGTAACTCTTCTGACATCAAATCTCGTACACCCAAATACTTCTCTGCATATAATCTTACTGAAGCATATATCACTTGTTGGCTTATCCATCTGTACTCGTGCAGATCTACTACTCACACCACTCCTCTCAGGATCCCTTCCCCTTGACCCATCTTCCTCTACTTTCTACATTATTCACTGCCTCAGCATACGACAAGTTCTGCAATACTCTAACCCTTGTAGCCTCAACCTGCCTCACTCTCACCGGACATTTCTGATCCCCAGCCACATGGGCACCCCTACAATTAACACATTCCGCTTCCTTCCCCAATGCTACCCATACCTTTTGTCTCATGCCCTTCTGCACACTTCTCACACCTAGGAACCTCCCTCCTACACTCTGATGCCACATGTCCATAAGCTTGACACCTGTAACAACACAATGTATTTGGTACAAAAGCTTGTACGGGATAACTGATACACTATATATACAAAAGTATATGGACACCCCATCAAATTAGTGGATTCGGCTATTTCAGCCACACCCGTTGCTGACCGGTGTATAAAATCGAGCAAACAGCCATGCAATCGCCATAGACAAACATTGGCAGTTGAATGGCCTTACTGAAGAGCTCAGTGACTTTCAACATGGCACCGTCATAAGATGCCACCTTTCCAACAAGTCAGTTGGAAAAATTTCTGCCCTGCTAGAGTTGCCCCAGTCAACTGTAAGTGCTGTTATTGTGAAGTGGAAATGTCAAGGAGCATCAACTGCTCAGCCGCGAAGTGGTAGGCCACACAAGCTCACAGAAAGGGACTGCCGAGTGCTGTAGCTTGTAAAAATTGTTTGTCATCGGTTGCAACACTCACTACCGAGTTCCAAACTGCCTCTGGAAGCAACGTCAGCACAATAACTGTTCGTCGGGAGCTTCATGAAATGGGTATCCATGGCCGAGCAGCCACACACAAGCTTAAGATCACCATGCGCAATGCCAAGCGTCGGCTGGAGTGATGTAAAGGTCACCACCATTGGACTCTGGAGCAGTGGAAACGCGTTCTCTGGAGTGATGAATCACGCTTCACCATCTGGCAGTCCGACAGACGAATCTGGGTTTGGCGGATGCCAGGAGAACGCTACCTGCCCCAATGCATAGTGCCAACTGTAACGTTTGGTGGAGGAGGAATAATGGTCTGGGGCTGTTTTTATTGTTCGGGCTAGGCCCCTTAGTTCCAGTGAAGGGAAATCTTAATGCTACAGCATACAATTACATTCTAGACGATGCTGTGCTTCCAACTTTGTGGCAACAGTTTGGGGAAGGCCCTTTCCTGTTTCAGCATGACAATGCCCCCTTGCAGAAAGTGAGGTCCATACAGAAATGGTTTGTCGAGATCGGTGTGGAAGAACATGACTGGCCTACATAGAGCCTTGACCTCAACCTCATCGAACACCTTTGGGATGAATTGGAACGCTGACTGCGAGCCAGGCCTAATCGCCCAACATCGGTGCCCAACCTCACTAATGCTCTTGTGGCTGAATGGAAGCAAGTCCCCGCAGCAATGTTCCAACATCTAGTGGAAAGTCTTCCCAGAAGAGTGGAGGCTGTTATACCAGCAAAGGGGGGACCAACTCCATATTAATACCAATGGTTTTGGAAAGAGATGTTCGACGAGCATGTGTCCACATACTTTTGGTCATTAAGTGTATGTCTTAACATCACTTTGTCGGGCAAAGGCTCAAAATCAAAACTCAAAAGAACAGACAATAACTGTTCTGTTTCTCCACTCACGCCACCCTGTCTGCGTCGCACCAAATAACGAGCATCACAAACACCGGAAATCTTCCCCTTCAGTTGGTCCACTTTCACATTTACCGCTACCCCAGTAATCACTCCTTCAATGGCACCCTTTTCTTAAGAGCAAAAACAATTCACATCTCTTGTCCCCAGTCGTTTGACGCAGAGTGCCTTCTCCCTCTGACCGACCAACAGAAACACAAACAATTATCACAAGACCACTTCGGGTTACCTTCACCAATTCCACAGCACGTAACTCCGTTTTCACCCACCCTGAAACCACAAATGGATCAGCCAAAAGGCAAGGGTCAATTTTTTCCAAAATTGTCACTCCTACCATCACAGACTCATCTTTATCCTGACCCTCGGTGCAAGCCTTCTTTACCAAGTCAAGCTCACCCTCTTCCTCCCTGTCTCTTTTCCTCCCTGTCTCTCTTCCTCCCTGTCTCTCTTCCTCCCTGACTCTCTTCCTCCCTGTCTCTCTTCCTCCCTGACTCCCTTCCTCCCTGTCTCCCTTCCTGACTCCCTTCCTCCCTGTCTCCCTTCCTCCCTGTCTCCATTCCTCCCTGTCTCTCTTCCTCCCTGTCTCCCTTCCTCCCTGACTCCCTTCCTCCCTGTCTCTCTTCCTCCCTGTCTCTCTTCCTCCCTGACTCCCTTCCTCCCTGTCTCTCTTCCTCCCTGTCTCCCTTCCTCCCTGTCTCTCTTCCTCCCTGTCTCTCTTCCTCCCTGACTCCCTTCCTCCCTGTCTCCCTTCCTCCCTGACCCTTCTTCCTCCCTGTCTCTCTTCCTCCCTGTCTCTCTTCCTCCCTGACTCCCTTCCTCCCTGACTCCCTTCCTCCCTGTCTCCCTTCCTGACTCCCTTCCTCCCTGTCTCCCTTCCTCCCTGTCTCCATTCCTCCCTGTCTCTCTTCCTCCCTGTCTCTCTTCCTCCCTGACTCCCTTCCTCCCTGTCTCCCTTCCTCCCTGTCTCTCTTCCTCCCTGTCTCTCTTCCTCCCTGCCTCCCTTCCTCCCTGTCTCCCTTCCTCCCTGTCTCTCTTCCTCCCTGTCTCCCTTCCTCCCTGTCTCTCTTCCTCCCTGTCTCTCTTCCTCCCTGACTCCCTTCCTCCCTGTCTCCCTTCCTCCCTGACCCTTCTTCCTCCCTGACCCTTCTTCCTCCCTGACCCTTCTTCCTCCCCGTCTCTTCCTCCCCGTCTCCCTTCCTCCCCGTCTCTCTTCCTCCCCGTCTCCCTTCCTCCCCGTCTCTCTTCCTCCCCGTCTCTCTTCCTCCCCGACTCTCTTCCTCCCCGTCTCTCTTCCTCCCCGTCTCTCTTCCTCCCCGTCTCTCTTCCTCCCCGACTCTCTTCCTCCCTGTCTCTCTTCCTCCCTGTCTCTCTTCGACCTCCTCTGCCTTTTTGTCCCCCTCCATTCCTCCTCTGTAATTCAAGTATATGTTTCCTTATGATACTCCACTTCTCCTGACATGCATCTCGTTCTTGCCCTCAAGGGACACCATTCCCCGCTTGCTCCAGCCCTCCACCTCCAGCTGCGACACAACTGCAAATGACCACATTTTATAACAATGTGGAGGGCTATTGCTAGCTAGCATGAGGACGAAAAAGGGAGGATTTCCGTAAAAACAAGCAGTATTTCAATCTTCTCGATGTAGCAGTTTGGATAAAGGTAAAATTTGGAGTACAGTGGTATATCCCATCCCTGCATTGAGGTACGTTTTCTGACCCATATCTCGCGCCGGCTCTGCAGTGTCTTAAAAATCCTTGCTCTAATTTCCGGGGTTGGGACATCCATTTGGGGAAAAGCTGGGAAATCCTATATCCGGTGTCGGGTGTATGGTCTTTTCTCAATAGAAATGGCGCAAACCAAGAGCCAAGAGCAGAGATCAGCTTCTCATTAGCTAGCTAACGTTAGCAATATTATATCTATAAAGTGTTAGGTTTACTGTTGTTTTGAAATAACATTCTATTTATTTGATTGTATACGTTATATACATAGTCTTAGCAAGCTCTTTGGCAGCAAGCTAAGCTTTTTTAGCTATAATATTTAGCTACCTAGCTAGCTAGCTTTTCAAATGTTAGCCTAGTTAGCTAGCTAGCATCAAGTGTTGGTGATAGAAAAATGGCTGTAAAAACAACTCTAGCTTAGTTTAGAAGTAAAGACTGACGTTTATTTTTTACTGGAGAATTACTTTTGAATTCCTTTTGATACACCCGTAGAACAAGGAGCTAGTTATAAAAATCATTGCTATCTGTGCCCTTGGTGTACAGCAGCTGCTGTTACCCGCGAGAGATAGGCCTATCAAGCCATGATGGCATTGAGACCCCAGTGCAGCTCAATGTAAACAAGCGTAATGGTAGGGTGGGAATCGTCTGGCTAGCGCAGCATAGACAAACCTAACACAGATGAAAGTTTATGTAGTTGCCATAATATTTGAAGATAACCACTGGACCACTCCTCAGGATAAACATTAGCTAGCTATCTGTAAGCTATTTACATTTTAGCTATCTAACGTTAACAGCTAGCTGATATGCTCAGTGTCTGCTTGTGCCATTTGAACCATGACACACCCCTAGGATGACTTCAAGGATTTGAAAACTTATTTCTCAAAGATGGAATGGACCTGTCTAGTGAAATGTGGGGAAGTGAACTACAGAAACGTGAAGAGGAACCACCTGTCTATGCTGGCTATAGGTACGTTTCCCCCATGGAGACGGCGACCTATGTCATGGACATTTTAAATTCATCACTATTACTTGAAAGGTAGCTAAATGTTTTAGATTAGGTGATTAGATAGATTATCTAGCTATGTGTTTTTACACGTCTTAGGAGTCACTGGCCATGTCCAAATACTCGTACATGCATTCTAAATAGTAGGCATTTTGGGTATGTGATTATTAGTATTTTACTATATATATATATATATATATATATATATATATATATATATATATATATATATATATATATATAGTATGTGAAATTTCGAAAATGTAGTATGATTTAAATGCCAGGATTTCATACTCATTTCGGCTTTTCATCTAGTAGAATTCATTGCACGCTATTGAGGAGAAAATAATCATATTTCGAGATTCACGTGTGTTTGACAACAGCTCATAATAGCTGATGGGACGCGCTGTACAAAAATGTAAGAATGGCTGGAATCAACGTAATTGTGCATTTAGATTAAACATTCTCAGTAGAATGCTGATATTCTTTCCTTACTGCATTCGTTTTTACTAAACGGTACATTCTAAGTAGTATACAGTTTAAGGCAAGCCAGATTTCAGACACGGCGACTGTTGTAATTAGCAGTGTCTCTACTGTGTGTTGTATTGAGCAGTGGCTCTACTGTGTGTTGTAATGAACAGTCTCTACTGTGTGTTGTAATGAGCAGAGTGTCTCTACTGTGTGTTGTAATGAGCAGAGTGTCTCTACTGTGTGTTGTAATGAGCAGAGTGTCTCTAGTGTGTGTTGTATTGAGCAGTGTCTCTACTGTGTGGTGTAATTAGCAGTGTCTCTACTGTGTGTTGTAATGAACAGTGTCTCTACTGTGTGTTGTAATGAGCAGAGTGTCTCTACTGTGTGGTGTAATGAGCAGAGTGTCTCTACTGTGTGGTGTAATTAGCAGTGTCTCTACTGTGTGTTGTAATTAAGTGTCTCTACTGTGTGTTGTAATGAGCAGAGTGTCTCTACTGTGTGTTGTAATGAAGTGTCTCTACTGTGTGTTGTAATGAGCAGAGTGTCTCTACTGTGTGTTGTAATGAGCAGTGTCGCTACTGTGTGTCTCTAATGTGTCCCACAGGGCTGAACTCCCCAGTACCTGCGTTTTATGAGGAGAGACGGACCTAAACTGGTGAACGCTGCACCGCTTCTCGCACCCAGCCACTCGGAGGAGGAAGATGAGTGGACCCCTCGCCTGGAGAGATGCTGGAGTTATGTTGTGAAAGCAGAGCAGGAAGAGATGACTGTCACAGTGAAAGCAGAGCAGGAAGAGATGACTGTCACAGTGAAAGCAGAGCAGGAAGAGATGACTGTCACAGTGAAAGCAGAGCAGGAAGAGATGACTGTCACAGTGAAAGCAGAGCAGGAAGAGATGACTGTCACAGTGAAAGATGATGAGGAAGAGATGACTGTCACAGTGAAAGCAGAGCAGGAAGAGATGACTGTCACAGTGAAAGAGGATGAGGAAGAGATGACTGTCACAGTGAAAGAAGAGCAGGAAGAGATGACTGTCACAGTGAAAGAGGATGAGGATGATGAAGAAGAGCAGATTGGAGAACTGATTAACACCAGCAGTAAGTATACCGTATTAAAAACAGGGGCACAAACTGCCATTATTGAACCAATGTGTGTTTTTAAAGGGGCATTCTACTGAAGTTCTACACTTGAATATGTTGTTCTGTACTGTAGGAATCGTTAAAGCTACAAAGATTGGGGGCAGCCAATGTTAATTGATCAAATACTCTCATTATATTTATCTGAATATCTCTTTCTGTAGTGCATTGTTCAGTCTCAATACTCAACATACCATGATAGCAACATTACTTTTTTAAAACATGATTTGAAGCGCTACATTTCTTTTTAAAATCTCAACGGTGTTAATGTCCTTAGTGTTCTTGTTTATAAGGTAAGACCGACTGATCTGATTGAACTCTCTATGATACAGTACCACATTATTACAACCAACCCTAGTCTAATTACAAATTACGGAGAAGACCGAATCAAGACAAGGAGCATTTTAGATGCATTCATGTTAAGGGCATTTTAGATGTATTACTATTTCTTCAGGGTAGCGAGCTAAATGTTTTAGATTAGATGACAAGCTTAGTTATGCATCTACAGTGCATTCGGAAAGTATTCAGACCCCTTGACTTTTTTCACATTTTGTTACGTTACAGCATTATCGTAAATTTATAAAATATTTTTTTCCTTCATCAATGTACACACAATACCCCATAATGACAAAGCAAAAACAGTTTTTTTGTTTTTTATATCACATTTAAATAAGTATTCAGACCCTTTACTCAGTACTTTGTTGAAGCACCCTTGGCAGCGATTACAGCCTCAAGTCTTCTTGAGTATGACGCTACAAGCTTGGCACACCTGTATTTGGGGAGTTTCTCCCATTTATCTCTGAAGATCCTCTCAAGATCTGGATAGGGGGCGTCGCTGCAAAGCTATTTTCAGGTCTCTCCAGAGATGTTCGATCGGGTTCAAGTCCGGGCTCTGGCTGGGCCACTCAAGGACATTCAGAGCAACTCCTGCATTGTCTTGGCTGTGTGCTTAGGGTCGCTGTCCTGTTGGAAGGTGAACCTTCGCACCAGTCTGAGGTCCTGAGCACTCTGGAGCAGGTTTTCATCAAGGATCTCTCTGTACTTTGCTCCGTTCATCTTTCCATCCATCCTGACTAGTCTCCCAGTCCTTGCCGCTAAAAAACATCCCCACAGCATGATGCTGCCACCACCATGCTTCACCGTAGGGATGGTGCCAGGTTTCCTCCAGACGTGACGCTTGGCATTCAGGCCAAAGTGTTCAATCTTGGTTTCATCAGACCAGAGAATCTTGTTTCTCATTGTTTGAGTCCTTTAGGTGCCTTTTGGCAAACTCCAAGCGGGCTGTCATGTGCCTTTTACTGAGGAGTGTCTTCCGTCTGGCTACTCTACCATAAAGGCCTGATTGGTGGAGTGCTGCAGAGATGGTTGTCCTTCTGGAAGGTTCTTCCATCTCCACAGAGGAACTCTGGAGCTCTGTCCGAGTGACCATCGGGTTCTCCCTGATCAAGGCCCTTCTCCCCCGATTGCTCAGTTTGGCCGGACGGCCAGCTCTAGGAAGTCTTGGTGGTTCCAAACTTCTTCCATTTAAGAATGATGGAGGCCACTGTGTTCTTGGGGACCTTCAATGCTGCAGAAATGTTTTGGTACCCTTCCCCAGATCTGTGCCTTAACACAATCTTGTCTCGGAGCTCAACGGACAATTCCTTCGACCTCATGGCTTGGTTTTTGGTTTGACATGCACTGTCAACTGTGGGACCTTATATAGACAGGTGTGTGCATTTCCAATTCATGTCCAATCAATTTAATTTACCACAGGTGGACTCCAATCAAGTTGTAGAAACATTTCAATGATGGAAACAGGATGCACCTGAGCGCAATTTCGAGTCTCATAGCAAAGGGTCTGAGTACTTATGTAAATAAGGTATTTCTGTTTTTATTTTTAATACATTTGCAAAAATGTTGACACCTGTTTTCGCTTTGTCATTATGGGGTATTCTGTGTATATTTATGAGAAGAAGAAAATATATTTTTATCAATTTTAGAATAAGGCTGTAACATAACAAATTGTGGATAAAATCAAGGGGTCTGAATACGTTCCGAATGCACTGTAGCTAGATAGCTAGCCAATTTGACAATTAATGTAGCTATTTGTATGATTTTTACTCCTGTCTCCTAGTATTGAGTGGTGTCTACTGTGTGTTGTAATGAGCAGTGTCTCTACTGTGTGTTGTATTGAGCAGAGTGTCTCTACTGTGTGTTGTATTGAGTTAGTGTCTCTAATGTGTCCCTCAGGGCTGAACTCCCCGGTACCTGCGTTTATGAGGAAAGGCAGACCTAAACTGGTAAACATTGCTCCGCTTCTCGCACCCAGCGAATCCGAGGAGGATGAGTGGACCCCTCGACTGGAGAGATGCCCACCAGGTAGAGCAGTAGTAGTAAATTAGGATGTTATAAGAAGTATGGTGTTAGTAGAACGATAGGATCTACCCAGATACCACCAGGCTAGTAGGACCTACCCAGATACCACCAGGCTAGTAGACTGGTAGGACCTACCCAGATACCACCAGGCTAGTAGACTGGTAGGACCTACCCAGATACCACCAGGCTAGTAGACTGGTAGGACCTACCCAGATACCACCAGGCTAGTAGACTGGTAGGACCTACCCAGATACCACCAGGCTAGTAGACTGGTAGGACCTACCCAGATACCACTAAGCTAGTAGACTGGTAGGACCTACCCAGATACCACTAGGCTAGTAGACTGGTAGGACCTACCCAGATACCACCAGGCTAGTAGACTGGTAGGACCTACCCAGATACCACTAGGCTAGTAGACTGGTAGGACCTACCCAGATACCACCAGGCTAGTAGACTGGTAGGACCTACCCAGATACCACTAGGCTAGTAGACTGGTAGGACCTACCCAGATACCCCCAGGCTAGTAGACTGGTAGGACCTACCCAGATACCCCCAGGCTAGTAGACTGGTAGGACCTACCCAGATACCACTAGGCTAGTAGACTGGTAGGACCTACCCAGATACCACTAGGCTAGTAGACTGGTAGGGCTAAAGGAGTGGAAGGTATGCTAAAAGAAGTCAGGTTAGTAGTAGAGAGGAAGGTGCCATAAAATGTTACCTGTTAGTTCTGGTAACCTGTTAGTTCTGGTAACCTGTTAGTTCTGGTAACCTGTTATATTATGTCCCTGTGGTCTGTCCTTCCTCACAGCACCCCGGAGCTTCCGACCCTCAACCAGGAGACCAGCAGCGTCTCAGGGAATCCCTCAGGCTGCCACACCTACAGTACAGGTGAGTGTTATTTAAAACAGTATAGGTGAGTGTTATTTAAAACAGTACAGGTGAGTGTTATTTAAAACAGTACCGGTGAGTGTTATTTAAAACAGTACAGGTGAGTGTTATTTAAAACAGTACCGGTGAGTGTTATTTAAAACAGGACAGGTGAGTGTTATTTAAAACAGTACCGGTGAGTGTTATTTAAAACAGTACCGGTGAGTGTTATTTAAAACAGTACAGGTGAGTGTTATTTAAAACAAGGCCGGTGAGTGTTATTTAAAACAGGACAGGTGGGTGTTATTTAAAACAGTACAGGTGAGTGTAATTTAAAACAGTACAGGTGAGTGTTATTTAAAACAGTACCGGTGAGTGTTATTTAAAACAGTACCGGTGAGTGTTATTTAAAACAGGACAGGTGAGTGTTATTTAAAACAGGACAGGTGAGTGTTATTTAAAACAGGACAGGTGAGTGTTATTTAAAACAGGACAGGTGAGTGTTATTTAAAACAGTACAGGTGAGTGTTATTTAAAACAGTACCGGTGAGTGTTATTTAAAACAGGACAGGTGAGGTGTTATTGAAAACAGTACCGGTGAGTGTTATTTAAAACAGGACAGGTGAGTGTTATTTAAAACAGGACAGGTGAGGGGTTATTTAAAACAGGACAGGTGAGTGTTATTTAAAACAGTACAGGTGAGTGTTATTTAAAACAGTACCGGTGAGTGTTATTTAAAACAGGACAGGTGAGTGTTATTTAAAACAGTATAGGTGAGTGTTATTTAAAACAGTACAGGTGAGTGTTATTTAAAACAGGACAGGTGAGTGTTATTTAAAACAGTACAGGTGAGTGTTATTTAAAACAGTACCGGTGAGTGTTATTTAAAACAGTACAGGTGAGTGTTATTTAAAACAGGACAGGTGAGTGTTATTTAAAACAGTACAGGTGAGTGTTATTTAAAACAGTACCGGTGAGTGTTATTTAAAACAGTACCGGTGAGTGTTATTTAAAACAGTACAGGTGAGTGTTATTTAAAACAAGGCCGGTGAGTGTTATTTAAAACAGGACAGGTAGTGTTATTTAAAACAGTACAGGTGAGTGTAATTTAAAACAGTACAGGTGAGTGTTATTTAAAACAGTACCGGTGAGTGTTATTGAAAACAGTACCGGTGAGTGTTATTTAAAACAGGACAGGTGAGTGTTATTTAAAACAGGACAGGCGAGTGTTATTTAAAACAGTACCGGTGAGTGTTATTTAAAACAGGACAGGTGAGTGTTATTTAAAACAGGACAGGTGAGTGTTATTTAAAACAGGACAGGTGAGTGTTATTTAAAACAGTACCGGTGAGTGTTATTTAAAACAGGACAGGTGAGTGTTATTGAAAACAGTACCGGTGAGTGTTATTTAAAACAGGACAGGTGAGTGTTATTTAAAACAGGACAGGTGAGGGGTTATTTAAAACAGGACAGGTGAGTGTTATTTAAAACAGTACAGGTGAGTGTTATTTAAAACAGTACCGGTGAGTGTTATTTAAAACAGGACAGGTGAGTGTTATTTAAAACAGTATAGGTGAGTGTTATTTAAAACAGTACAGGTGAGTGTTATTTAAAACAGGACAGGTGAGTGTTATTTAAAACAGGACAGGTGAGTGTTATTTAAAACAGTACCGGTGAGTGTTATTTAAAACAGGACAGGTGAGTGTTATTTAAAACAGGACAGGTGAGTGTTATTTAAAACAGTACAGGTGAGTGTTATTTAAAACAGTACCGGTGAGTGTTATTTAAAACAGGACAGGTGAGTGTTATTTAAAACAGTACAGGTAACTGCACAGGTGACTAGCATATTATACATTTGGGGTGTTTTTTCTCTTCTCTTAGATACTAGTGCTCTAAAGGGTTGGAGTTAAATTATGAATTAAATTATGATGGTACTGTAGATATTTACATTTACATTTACGTCATTTAGCAGACGCTCTTATCCAGAGCGACTTACAAATAGGTACTTTCACCCTATAGCCAGTGGGATAACCACTTTACAATGTTTGTTTTTTTGGGGGGGGGGGGTTGGAGTAAAGGGGGGGGGGGGGTAGAAGGATTACTTTATCCTATCCCAGGTATTCCTTAAAGAGGTGGGGTTTCAAATGTCTCCGGAAGGTGGTGAGTGACTCCGCTGTCCTGGCGTCGTGAGGGAGCTTGTTCCACCATTGGGGTGCCAGAGCAGCGAACAGTTTTGACTGGGCTGAGCGGGAACTATGCTTCATTGTGGATATAATGTTATGTAATCCTGTAGAGGACTCTGACAGCTCTGTCTAGTCAGCATTGTCATATTACAGCCCAACCCCCTTTGGTCCTAAAAATAATGGAATGAAATGATGATAAATATCATGTTCTGTGGTCATCCCATTATGCCCTCAGCAGCCCCCCAGCGGAGAGGAGGCAGGACCCAGTAATATGAGGACAGAACCACCCCAGCCATTCCTGGAGGTGCTGACTGAAGAAGTGGCCTTCCTCAGAGACGGCAGCACAGCAGACACACACAGTGGAGGACAGGAGGGGCTAGGAGACAAGGTGTGTGTGTGTTACTGTCATACACATAACACAACACACAATATATTTTAATTAATGATGCTACAAAACAAAGGTCAAGTGATGATGACACACAGACCCAGTGGTCAGTTTGAACTCTCCTCTGGTCTCTTTCCAGGAGGGTCAGAGTGAAGTGACCCCCAGCACCAGTGGAGAGGAGGCAGGGAGATCCACTCAGGGAAGGGGGGCAGACACCCCAGCTGTCACTCAGAGAGGGGCTCCCTTGTTGTACTCCAAACCATCAACCTCAGGTAACAGAGACAGACAGGAATAGACTGTTAGTTTGATATTGTGATTTTATTTGGTCTGAGAGAAAAGATGAGGCACATTGACTGTTTCTGGAAAAATACATTATAATAATAATAATAATTATTATCTTATTCCACATGCAATATGGCTATTATTTTAATATGGCTATTATTTTCAGTTGTCTGTGTGTGTGTACAGTGCCTTCGGAAAGTATTCACACCCCTTGTCTTTTCTCCCCAAAACAATTTGGTTACAGCCTGAAATGTTTAAAAAAACATTATTGAGATGTTTTGGTCACTGGCCTACATACAATACCCCATAATGTCAAAGTGGAATTATGTTTTTTCTAAATTGTTACTAATTAAACATTCAATAAGTATTCAACCCCTTTGTTATGGCAAGCCTAAACAAGTTCCTGAATAAACATTTGCTTAACAAGTCACATAATAAGTTGCAAGGACTCACTCTGTGTGCAATAATAGGTCCCTCAGTCGAGCAGTGAATTTCAAATAAACACCAGGGATGTTTTCCAATGCCTCGCAAAGAAGGGCACCTATTGGTAGATGGGTAAAAAAAAGCAGACATTGAATATCCCTTTGAGCGTGGTGAAGTTATTAATTACACTTTGGATGGTCTATCAATACACCCAGTCATTACAAAGATACATGCGTCCTTCCTAACTCAGTTGCCGAAGAGGAAGGAAACCGCTCAGGGATTTCACCATGAACCCAATGGTGACTTTAAAACAGTTAGAGTTTAATGGCTGTGATAGGAGAAAACGGACTATGGATCAACATTGTAGTTACTACACAAAACTAACCTAATTCACAGAGTGAAAAGAAGGGAACCTGTACAGAATAAAACATATTTGAAAACATGCATTCTGTTTGCAACAAGGCACTAAAATAGTACTGCAAACATTGTGGCAAATAAATTAACTTTTTGTCCTGAATACAAAGTGTTATGTTTGGGGCAAATACAATACAACACATTACTGAATACCACTCTCCATATTTTCAAGCATAGTGGTGGCTGCATCATGTTATGGGTATGCTTGTAATCGTTAAATACTGGGGAGTTTTTCAGGATAAAAAATAAACGGAATAGAGCTAAGCACAGGCAAAATCCTAGAGGAAAACCTGGTTCAGTCTGCTTTCCACCAGACACTGGAAGATGAATTCACCTTTCAGCAGGACAATAACTTAAAACACAAGGCCAAATCTACACTGAAGTTGCTTATCAAGAAGACAGTGGATGTTCCTGAGTGGCCGGGTTACAGTTTTGACTTAAATCTACTTGAAAATCGATGGCAAGGCCTGAAAATGGTTGTCTAGCAATGATCAACAACCAATTTGACAGAGCTTGAAGAGTTTTTTAAAGAATAATGGGCAAATGTTGCACAATCCAGGTGTGGATTAGAGACTTACCCTGAAAGACTCACAGCTGTAATCGCTGCCAAAGGTGCTTCTACAACGTATTGACTCAGGGGTGTGAATACTTATGTAAATTATTTTCACGTTTTTTCCTCCCCCTTTTGAATTCAGGCTGTAACACAACACTGTGGAATAAGTCAAAGGATGTGAATACTTTCTGAAGGCACTGTTGTTTGCATGTATTGGATGTGTGCGTCAGACCTGTGTAAGAAGAGAGAGTGGCTGGAAAGACAGAAAGACACGTACAAGCACGGCAGAAACCTGAAAGACAGACCAAGAATCACTTACACAGAAGAGGAGGTCCCCAAAGATGACCACTACCTCTGTGAGTCTTTCGCTCCGAGTCCTCTCTCTCAAGAGAGAGCGAGAGAGGCTCTCTATAGATCTCTGAGAGCGAGTGTATCTATAAATCTCTATATATCTCTCTGCTCTCTCTCTATCGATGCTCTCTCTCTACGCTCATCTCTGCTCTCTCTCTTCTCTCTCTCTCTCTCTCTCAATCTGAGAGACAATGGCTATCTCTATGAGTCTGGACCTAGAACAAAGAGGAATTTATTGTCAACATTTTAAGAAAGCATTCTTGTCATTTACAGGGCCAAAAATACAATATTTGGTCCACCAGCCACAGTGACAGGTAGATTAAAACATCTACCAGCCACAGATTTTTTACCAGCCAAAATATCTTTGCGCCATAATATATATATGAATATATATAAAAAACAGATGGTATATTGCTAAATTGTATTACATTTTTGGTGACCTGAGACGAGACAAAATGTTCAACTGCCCCTTTAAGGGCGGGAGGTTACCGTGGTAACATGGGTCGTGTCACTGTGTGTGTGTGTGTGTGTGTGTGTGTGAGATTTGGGATTGGATCTAACTAGTAGTAGATGGTATCATTTGAAGCAGCAGACTCAAATTAACATTGAAAAACAACCAAGCTTGTGAACAAAACAATGTAAATAGTCAAGAAACACGAGGACAAAGTCTCACTTTGTAGACTTTAGAGTAAATGAGACAATTTGTTATGCCTGTGCGCAACGCCTCCCAAAACAATATGATCAGCACAGTGCGCACAGCTCCCCAGCCAGGCAGTGTTGCTGCTCGAGGTGGGATATTGGATTCCTAGTTCTTTGTGCGATTTAGCAGCTATGAAACGAAACGGCAGAAATGCTTTGAAAACCACTACTGCAGCATTTTCTGCAATTTGGCAGTACGCCCAGAACCTTGTTTAGAGAAAGGTTTCAAGGTCTCAGCTTAGAGAGAAGAAACCTTGTGAGGTATTGGTCTGTCACATGCATGGCCCAGTATTGGTCGTCACATGAATGAAGAAAACATTAATTATGAATGATGAATAAGCTAAATCATGCAAATATAACTTGTCAGTATATAAGGGAGCTAACGGGACTGCCCCATTAGAGCTCCTGACAGATGTTCACTATGGTGCATCAAGTTTGTTGGAACCTCTCCAGCGCACTGATAATAAACAATGATTCATTTAAGATGGACTTTGAGTGTCCCTGTGTAAGAATTTCCACGACAGTATCATCCCCATGTTTGTTCCCCTCTCTCTCTCTCTCTCTCTCTCTCTCTCTCTATCTCTCTCTCTCTCTCTCTCTTCTCTTTCTCTCTCTCTGCTCTCGCTCCTCGCTCTCTCGCCTCTCTATCGCTGTCTCTCTCTCTCTCGCTGTCTCTCTCTCTGTCTCTCTCTCTCTCTGTCTCTCTGTTTCTCTCTCTCTCTCTTTGTCTCTCTCTTTGTCTCTCGCTGTCTCGCTCTCTCTCTCTCGCTCTCTCTCTCGCTGTCTCTCTCTCTCTCGATGTCGCTCTCGCTGTCTCTCTCTTCTGCTCTCTGCTCTCTCGCTCTCTCCTCTCGCCTGTCTCTCTCTCTCGTGTCTCTCTCTCTGCTCTCTCTCTCTCGCTGTCTCTCTGTCTCTCTCTGGTCTCTCTCGCTGTCTCTCTCTCTTCTCTCTCTCTCTCTCTTATGTCTACTCTTCGTCTCTCTCTCTCTCTGGCTCTCTCTCTCTCTCTCTCTCTCTCTCTCTCTCTCTCTCTCTCTACCTCTCTGCATGTCTTCATCATCATCATCATGATAACTGACGTTTAACATGTTCTATTTATCTTTCTCTCTCCCAGACTGTGAGGACTGCAAGTCTTTCTTCATGGAGGAGTGTGAGCTCCATGGTCCTGCTCTCTTTGTCCCTGACATCCCTGCCCCTCTAGGAGCCCCTGACAGGGCCAGACTCACCCTGCCGTCCGGCCTGGAGGTCAGGACATCAGGCATCCCTGAAGCAGGACTGGGGGTATTCAACCAAGGAAACACTGTGCCTGCAGGAGCCCACTATGGACCTTATGAAGGAGAGATCACAGACAAGGACCAGGCCATGGAGAGTGGATACTCCTGGGTGGTGAGAGGAGTGTGTGTGTGTGTCATCGCGCTGTGCTTACATTTTGTCCAACCTGATCAAAACTGTAAATATGAATTGTTGTTTTCCTCAGATCTACAAGAGCAAACACTGGGACGACTACATTGATGCTGGGAAAGACACTCACTCCAACTGGATGAGGTGAGCAACACTGTGAAGTACAGAGGAAGTCTCACAGTCCTCTTCCTCCTTCTGTTTCTCTCTGTAAGTACAGAGGAAGTCTCAGTCCTCTTCCTCCTCCTGTTTCTCTCTGTAAGTACAGAGGAAGTCTCACAGACCTCTTCCTCCTCCTGTTTCTCTCTGTAAGTACAGAGGAAGTCACAGTCCTCAGTTTCCTCCTGTTTCTCTCTGTAAGTACAGAGGAAGTCTCAGTCCTCTTCCTCCTGTTTCTCTCTGTAAGTACAGAGGAAGTCCTACAGTCCTCTCTATCTCTGCCTCATACCTAATAACTTCAATAAATCCTTCTCTTTTATTCCCATATGTTTTCCCTCATTATTTTCTCCATACATAATTAACCCCTCTGTTAACTCTCTCTCTCAGGTATGTGAACTGTGCTCGTAGAGAAGAAGAACAGAATCTGGTGGCCTTCCAGTACAGAGGAGAGATTCTATACCGCTGCTGTAAGCCTATAGCTGTTGGAGAGGAGCGCTTGGTTTGGTACGGAGAGGAGTACGCCAGAGACCTGGGCATTGTCTTCGACTACCTCTGGGACAAAAAGAGCTCTGCTAAAGGTACTTTACTCTCTCTCCCCTCTTCCTCCTCTCTTCATCCCTCTCTTTATCTTTTAAGGTACTTTAATGTTATTTCCACCTTGTCTGTCATTTTCTTATTCTACTACATTTTCCAGCTTCAATAAAATGTCGACAAAACAAAATGACAAGGTGGGATCTTTTTTGTGTCTGTAGAATGTATTATGCGCGAAATGGCTGTGGAAACAAATATGAATAACCATCATATTGAAGTAGGTAGCTTAGTGGTTAAGAGCGTTGTGCCAGTAACCGAAAGGTCGCTGGTTCTAATCCCCGAGCCGACTAGGTGAAAAATCTGTCGATGTGCCCTTGAGCAAGGCACTTAACCCTAATTGCTTCTGTAAGTGGCTCTGGATAAGAGCGTAGGCTAAATGACTAAAATGTAAAAAATGTAAAAGTAAACTTGGAGTCACGCGATATGTTGTGTGGTCCTCCCACTACGACTCATGCAGTTTATTAAGCTACAGATGAAATAACTTCACAGGGTGGTGAAAGCGCACGGTGATGAGCTTGATGCTCCTTCCCAATAAACATTGAGGGTCTTATTCTGGTGACATGATGATCGATGCTTGGCTGCCATTTGACAAAAAAAAAGAATCTGGCTCTTTTTTCCATAATAAGAATCTCATCATGTTGGTAGTCTACCCCCACTGTATCTGTGAGCTGTTGGCTAGAGAGCACGTGCAAAGACCAGAGTGGGCACATTTGCTATGTAACACATTTCTTTGTGACAAAACGGTCAGTAGAGTTGAAAATTGCGATGGAAACCCATTTACTTGTATTTATTATTCGGTACATGTGAATTTACCCTGTTAAACTCTGAGTTGTTGTTTTGGACCCGGGTCCAGCGAGTTTGGGGGAGGTTTCTGTCAAAAAATAAAAAGTGACATCATCATTTGAAAGCTACAGTCCTTGTCTTTTTGGAAATCAAACTAAGATCTTAATGCTAGCAATGTCATAAGAATCCCCCCCACTGCCCCCCCATAAAGACCATGAATCATGCGCTCATTGTTTACAGTAGGAAAAGTGAATGGAAAAATAAGTTTGAAGTTTCCTCCCCTGTCTGTGTCTTATAAATAAATACATTTGAAGTCGGAAGTTTACATACACTTAGGTTGGAGTCATTAAAACTAGTTTTTCAACCACTCCACAAATTTCTTGTTAACAAGCTATATAGTTTTGGCAAGTCGGTTAGGACATCTACTTTGTGCATGACACAAGTAATTTTTCCAACAATTGTTTACAGACAGATTATTTCACTTATAATTCACTGTATCACAATTCCAGTGGGTCAGACGTTTACATACACTAAGTTGACTGTGCCTTTAAACAGCTTGGAAAATTCCAGAAAATGATGTCATGGCTTTAGAAGCTTCTGATAGGCTAATTGACATAATTTGAGTCAATTGGAGGTGTTTCTGTGGATGTATTTCAAGGTCTACCTTCAAACTCAGTGCCTCTTTGCTTGACATCATGGGAAAATCTAAAGAAATCAGCCAAGACCTCAAAAAATCTTTGTAGACCTCCACAAGTCTGGTTCATCCTTGAGAGCAATTTCCAAATGCCTGAAGGTACCACGTTCATCTGTACAAACAATAGTACGCAAGTATAAACACCATGGGACCACGCAGCCATCATACCGCTCAGAAAGGAGACGCGTTCTGTCTCCTAGAGATGAACGTACTTTGGTGCGAAAAGTGCAAATCAATCCCAGAACAACAGCAAAGGACCTTGTGAAGATGCTGGAGGAAACGGGTACCAAAGTATCTATATCCACAGTAAAACGAGTCCTATATCGACATAACCTGAAAGGTGGCTCAGCAAGGAAGATGCCACTGCTCCAAAACCGCCATAAAAAAGCCAGACTACGTTTTGCAACTGCACATGGGGACAAAGATCATACTTTTTGGAGAAATGTCCTCTGGTCTGATGAAACAAAAATGTAACTATTTGGCCATAATGACCATCGTTATGTTTGGAGGAAAAAGGGGGTTGCTTGCAAGCCGAAGAACACCATCCCAACAGTGAAGCATGGGGTGGCAGCATCATGCTGTGGGGGTGCTTTGCTACAGGAGGGACTGGTGCACTTCACAAAATAGATGGCATCATGAGGAAGGAAAATGATGTGGATATATTGAAGCAAAATCTCAAGACATCAGTCAGGAAGTTAAAGCTTGGTCGCAAATGGGTCTTCCAAATGGACAATGACCTCAAGCATACTTCCAAAGTTGTGGCAAAATGGCTTAAGGACAACCAAGTAAAGGTATTGGAGTGGCCATCACAAAGCCCTGACCTCAATCCTATGAAAATCTGTGGGCAGAACTGAAAAAGCGTGTGCGAGTTACACCAGCTCTGTCAGGAGGAATAGGCCAAAATTCCCCCAACTTATTGTGGGAAGCTTGTGGAAGGCTACCCGAAACATTTGACCCAAGTTAAACAATTTAAAGGCAATGCTACCAAATACTAATTGAGTGTATGTAAACTTCTGACCCACTGGGAATGTGATGAAATAAATAAAAGCTGAAATAAATCATTCTCTCTACTATTATTCTGACATTTCGCATTCTTAAAATAAAATGGTGATCCTAACTGACCTAAGACAGGGCATTTTTACTAGGATTAAATGTCAGGAATTGTGAAAAACTACGTTTACATGTTTTTGGCTAAGGTGTATGTAAACTTCCGACTTCAACTGTAACTCCACAACATGAAAGCCCTGATTTGTCATTTTAAGACGACAGGCATTTTGGCACAGTGCCTCACTACCCAAACCAGACGTAACTGGTTTCAAGTGGCCAAGAGACGTCAACTGCTATCTAGTGCACGAACTGGGAATTAGACGGGGGATATATTTACATCAATGGATAGGTAGAGACTTCAGCTTTCTCCTCATACTGTATATACAGTACCAGTCAAACGTTTGGACATACCTACTCATTCAAGGATTGAAATAATAAACAATTCAACGGTTGAGAGATTGCCAAGAGTGTGCAAAGCTGTCATCAAGGCAAAGGGTGGCTATTTGAAGAATCTCAAATATAAAATATATTTTGATTTGTTTAACACTTTTTTGGTTACTACATGATTCCATATGTGTTATTTAATAGTTTTGATGTCTTCACTATTATTCTACAATGTAAAAAAAAGACAAAAAGAAAGAAAAACCCTTGAATGAGTAGGTGTGTCCAAACATTTGACTGGTAGTGTATATCAGTGAACACGCATAACAAAACGTTTATTTTTTAAGTGCCGCTAATGATCTTGCCTTGGTGCAGACAGCATCAGAGTTTGAGGTTAACTGTAAAAGTTATTTTTATTTGCACTAAGTCATCACACACAGCATTTGTCAGTTTGATGGAAACGCATCTCTGGTGGGAAATATTGTTTTTAATGCGGATTTTAGAATATTTGCATGAAAATCTAATGCCAATTTATTGGTATCCTAGCTAATGACAAATCATTGATTTTGATTTTAAACAATGTTTTCTGTTGTGTATTATCATGTCCTGAGATGTTCCTGTTCAGGTCACATAGTCAGGAAAACATGTATGTTTTAAATGATTATATTTATTGTGATTTCCCTTATCTTAATTGTTCTCTCTCTCTCACTCTCTCACACACAGATGTGAACGTTGAGTCTTTCCAGATCTTCTCGTGTTCTGGCTGTCCGTTCTCCTTCACTTCTCAGATCTTCCTCCTCAAGCACATAAAGAGATGTCACCATGATGAGTATGTCAGACTGTTGAGGAGTGGAGAGATCAGATCAGAGAATCTCATGTCCTCCAGCAGCTCACAACACCATGGAACCACATCAGGTTCCTCCAATCCAGCTCCCACCAGGAAACAGAGAGAGACGGACAAGCCACGACCACACCGCTGTTCTCAGTGTGGGAAGAGCTTCATTAAAGAAGATAATCTCAGAACACACCAACGCATTCACACAGGAGAGAGGCCGTTCCACTGCTCCCAGTGTGGGAAGAGTTTCAATACAGGGAGTGATTACAATAGACACCAGCTCACTCACACAGGAGAGAAGCCGTTCCACTGTTCCCAGTGTGGGAAGAGTTTCAGGGAGTCAGGAAAGTTAAAGATACACCAGCGCATTCACACAGGAGAAAAGCCATTCCACTGTTCCCAGTGTGGGAAGAGCTTCAGGGAGTCAGGAAATTTAAAGATACACCAGCGCATTCACACAGGTGAGAAGCCGTTCCACTGCTCCCAGTGTGGGAAGAGTTTCACTAGAGCGTATAATCTCATCAGACACCAGCTAACTCACACAGGAGAGAAGCCATTCCACTGTTCCCAGTGTGGGAAGACCTTTGGTGTCATACACGTTCTAACAGCACATCAGCGCATTCACACAGGAGAGAAACCGTTCCACTGCTGCCAGTGTGGGAAGAGTTTCAATACAGGGAGTGATTACAATAGACACCAGCTCACTCACACAGGAGAGAAGCCATTCCACTGCTCCCAGATTCCACTGCTCCCAGTGTGGGAAGAGTTTCAGGGAGTCAGGAAAGTTAAAGATACACCAGCGCATTCACACAGGAGAGAAGCCGTTCCACTGCTCCCAGTGTGGGAAGAGTTTCAGGGAGTCAGGAAAGTTAAAGATACACCAGCGCATTCACACAGGAGAGAAGCCGTTCCACTGCTCCCAGTGTGGGAAGAGTTTCAGTCGGTCATACAATCTAAAGACACACCAGTGTTCTTAAAAGAGTAAAGTAGTTTTCACTTGTAAATGGGATGGTAATGTGACAATGAGATGCAGTAAGTTTTTGTTCTATCAAGAAACATGACTGAAGTATTTTTTACATAGATACCAGGGTTGGGGTCAATTCCAGTCAATTCAATGCATTGTTGAATTATTCTGATATGATATTCACAGAACTCAAGTCACATTTGAATATAGTAAATTACGCATGTGTATATTAACTGTAAATATTTAAGTAATATTATTGCCAACTGAAATGTATACCCCCTTAAGTCATTAACATGGCAAGATTTAAATCCATTTTTGATATCATAATAAAATTCACATCTCCTCTCCTTTGTTGTTCGTCTTGTGTCAGATATTAGCAACTCACACCCAGAGAAGGGTTCTCTCATCTTCACTGTTGATTGTCTGACTCCAAGTAAGGAGTTGTTCTGAGGTCCGTTTATTTTCTCTCCAGGGGCCTCATTTATAACCTTTGTGTAAATGTAACACTAAATATCTGCATGTGCCATTTCTAAAAAGACACACGCACAAAAATATTGATTTATAAACTTGACGCAGGCCATACTTCCTGTTATGAATCAGACCTATGGTAAAACTGCGTGGGTGAAAGGGCAATAAGACTCTGCCTGAAAAACGCCCATAAGTCACCTTTTATGGTGACAATAATGCCCTTATTTGCTGTTTACTTTGGAAGTATTAGAATTAGGCCAATAATGTATGTAAAGGAAATAGCAATGCATTGAGAACTTGATCAAATGTCTTTGGAGGTATTGGCAGAATTTCTTCTTTTTGGGGAGGACAAAAATTTTTCTGTTTATTT